TATATATATATATATATATATATATTATATATTATATATTATATACATACCTGTCTCCTAGCACGTCCGCTCCCTACACAAATTCTTTCACGTAACGCAACACAAGCGCAAACCCTGCACTCGCATACTTTAAAATTCTTCCATTCTTGCAAACTGCCTCATACTCACACGACATACACCTGCATATAAACATGTATGTTCACACACCCGTATAAATACTAACTGATACACACTCCTATCATTGCACACTCGTGTACACACACTGTGCATTTTCCACCTCAGGATGTGTACCCATGTACACATCCTGAGATGGAATATGTACAGACAACCTTCACAGCTCGCATAAACTCAATCAAGCACTAAAATTATTGGGCGTGTTTGAAGTCCCTGGAACTGTAATCCTTAGAAATTAGGTGAGAAAGATGCATCATAATTTACACCCGGAAGATACTGGAGGGATTGGTCTCAAACCTGCACGTCAAAATTACTACTTATAAGCCCAGGACGGTGCATTATAATTTCGGTGAAAAGCAGGGAAACGATGAACACACCGAGAGAGGACTTAATAAGTGTTAAAGGACCAAGGCTCCTCATCGCCCTCCCTTCATACATAAGAATTACGAACAAACACCTGGCTGTCCTCAAGAGGGAATTCAACAAATTCCTCAAAAGGGTTTCTGATCAACCGGGTTGTGGTGCACACGTTAGACTGCGGCCGGCGGGCACTAACAGCTTGATCGATCAGACCAGCAACCAGGTCTGGTCTGGGACTTTGACGGTTGGTTATATATCCATCAACATTATGGAGCATCATTATTGTTCTCATATTTGTGTACACATCAGGTTCTTTCCCTACCCTGGCTGGCTGCCAGGGAAGTGCATCCGTTTCACGATTAGGGGAGGAGGATCGAGCCTCCACCACTCTAGCTGAATAACCCACACTGGCGGTGTAGCTTATATATATATATATATAATATATATATATATATATATATATATATATATATATATATATATATATATATATATATATATATATATGCAAGACAAGCCACAGGGGGGTGGAAATCTTTAACTCAAGTACTTTCGCACTCTCAGTGCATCATCAGGAGCTATGCAAGGTTGCAACTGAAAGAGTGAGGGAGAAGTTTTTCTTTTTCTCAGAATAGCGAAGAGTGAGCCTGTCGTCTCCTGGTTCTCTTAGCATATGGCCAGCAGTCGGCGTCACCCCCACCACTGCCACCACAGCAGTCGGCGTCACACCCACCACTGCCACCACGTAAACAAGTGGTTTTAAAGCAAATGACATACTGCCACCAGCCGGGGATCGAATCCGAGTTATTTAGCCAGCGTCCTAGGAACCTTGTCCGCTACGTCACCATGCTTAAAATATTGGTGTCCAGACACTTGACATGCTGCTCCTAACGTGAGCACATTCTTAGCCATGGATAGCTACAGGAACAATTTCATTTTGCACACATCTACCACCACTACCACTGCGTACACCGCCACCACCACCACCACCACCACCACAAGTATTATCACCATCATCATCATGGTCACACACAAATGTACACAAGCCTGGTTCTCCCTGGCGGTGGTCAAGCCTGCAAGGTATCGTTATACGCCCATGTTTCTGTCAGCACTGACCTGCACGCCAACATGCCCGTACGTCCACATCTTACGTGACCGCGCGCCCACGCCCCCGCCCACCCGCCCGCACACCACGCTATCACTCCCATCTTTTATAAGTTATTGACTTACTGTCTGTACTTAATCCTCCGAGTGCTGATGGTTCTTGATCCATGGTGCGTGATCCATCAGACTATTGGTGTAGACCATCTGTGGTTGCTCTCACTAACCAGATGAGAGAGAGGAAAGGGAGGAGCGTACAGGGGTTGGGATAGAATGTAGAAGTGTAAGAGAGAAGGCGTAGAGGGGAGGGAAGGAGTTAAATACAAAGAGAGGTGTAGAGGGGAAGAGAGGGGGCACAGAGGTTAAGAATAAGGGTGTAGAGGGGACGGGAAAGGAAGTTCATGGGACGGGAAGGGTGCATAGAGAGGAAAGGAGGGGAGTTCATGGAAGGGAAGGAGGCCATCCTAGGGAAGATGGTCCTGATAGGGGAGGGGGTCAAAGGAGGAGAGGGGGTCATGGTAGGGGATAATGTTAAGCTGCCCCATGAAAAACCATTTTTATTTGGTTTATCAGAATATCATCACTTGTGTGTGTGTGTGTGGGTGTGGGTGTGTGTGTGGGTGTGGGTGTGTGTGGGTGTGGGTGTGAACATAAGCATCAACTTTGCCACGCACTTTCCCCACACCCACAACCAGCACCCACGACAGTACCTGGAGGTTACCTGGAGGTTATTCCGGGGATCAACGCCCCCGCGGCCCGGTCCATGACCAGGCCTCCCGATGGATCAGGGCCTGATCAACTAGGCTGTTACTGCTGGCCGCACGCAGTCCAACGTACGAGCCACAGCCCGGCTGATCCGGCACTGACTTTAGGTATCTGTCCAGCTCTCTCTTGAAGGCAGCCAGGGGTTTATTGGCAATTCCCCTAATGCTTGATGGGAGGGTGTTGAACAGTTTTGGGCCCCGGACACTTATGGTGTTTTCTCTTAGTGTACCAATGGCGCCCCTACTTTTTATTGGAGGCATTTTGCATCGCCTGCCCAGTCTTTTACTTTCGTAGGGAGTGATTTGTGTGTGCAGATTTGGGACCATTCCTTCCAAGATTTTCCAAGTGTAGATTATGATATATCTCTCCCTCCTGCGCTCCAACGAGTACAAGTCAAGTGCTTCCAAGCCCGAGCCCACAGCCTACGCCCACCCCCATAGCCCAGCAGCCCAAGGCACAGTCTCTATGTAACGGAAGAAATCTGATCTAAACTAGAATATGTCTTGCTTAGTATTTCATGGTGTGGACAAAGAACAGTTTGTGTCAGACTCTGGCGTCGTAGCAGCTGTGTCGTATATATAACCCTAATTTTTAAACGGGTGGACCGGTAAGCCAGTGGAAGGCCTCGGCCAGATAACCAAAAGCTCCAGCGGTGGGTCATCATATGACTTTTAAGACCCGCGCCAGGAAACACTTGTCCTGTTTCCTAACAAATCTTACCTTTGTCGTGTAGTGTAAGTGTTCAGTTCTTCGTCTGCCACCAGTGTCCAGGTCGTGTCTGTTCCTCCGTGTTACAACTGTTATCTGCAGTGTGAGTGTGTCTGTCTCGGGATCTACACGACCGTATTACCATACAGACGGATGTGCTGTCAGGAATGTGATATGATCTGTTGTCTGGTGAGAGTCAATATAACTTCACTTGAATTTTGTTTGTTGTTGAGATAGAGATATCTTAGTGTTTTTTTTTTTTTCTTTTTTTTTTTTTACCTTTGAAGGGTGCCTTGTTGCTAGTGAAAGATATTTGAGTCAAGGAATTGGAGGGCCCCACCCCATTCCTCGGATCAAACCTTATTACCTCCTGTTCCCGAGGTGCTCTGTGACCCCCCTTAAGGGTAGTAGCTAAGGTCCCAGGAAAGAATATATTTCATATGTGTGTTTTTCACACAGGAGTAAATGATTGAGTGATGTAATGTTTTTGTGTACTTGATTAGTTGCTAAAAAATTCTGTAGTAGTTTCTTTAGCGGGAGAACTACACCAAACAATAGTCACTAAGATGGTCACCTGCGACAGTCACTAAGGTGGTCACCTACAGCAACAGTCACTAAGGTGGTCACCTACAGCAACAGTCACTAAGATGGTCACCTACAACAACAGTCACTAAGGTGGTCACCTACAACAACAGTCACTAAGGTGGTCACCTACAGCAACAGTCACTAAGGTGGTCACCTACAGCATCAGTCACTAAGATGGTCACCTACAACAACAGTCACTAAGATGGTCACCTACAGCAACAGTCACTAAGATGGTCACCTACAACAACAGTCACTAAGATGGTCACCTACAACAACAGTCACTAAGATGGTCACCTACAACAACAGTCACTAAGGTGGTCACCTACAACAACAGTCACTAAGGTGGTCACCTACAACAACAGTCACTAAGGTGGTCACCTACAGCAACAGTCACTAAGGTGCTCACCTACAGCAACAGTCACTAAGGTGCTCACCTACAGCAACAGTCACTAAGGTGCTCACCTACAGCAACAGTCACTAAGGTGGTCACCTACAACAACAGTCACTAAGATGGTCACCTACAACAACAGTCACTAAGATGGTCACCTACAACAACAGTCACTAAGGTGGTCACCTACAACAACAGTCACTAAGGTGGTCACCTACAACAACAGTCACTAAGGTGGTCACCTACAACAACAGTCACTAAGGTGGTCACCTACACCAAACGTCACTAACGTGGGTCCGGTGAGGGGGGCATTAACCCCCAAAATCTTCTTTAGGTCAGGTTCTCGAATAATGAACAAGATTCATGTAGAACTAAAAGTCGTGTACCTCTCGGATTCACTTCAAGTTGTGGTGTACACTATTCAAGTTGTGGTGTACACTATTCAAGTTGTGGTGTACACTATTCAAGTTGTGGTGTACACTATTCAAGTTGTGGTGTACACTATTCAAGTTGTGGTGTACACTATTCAAGTTGTGGTGTACACAATTCAAGTTGTGGTGTACACCTGAATGACTCTCTTGTTGTTGATTTGCGTTAAACCCAGTTAATAAACCTACCTTTTAAACCTATCCCGACCATATTTTAACAAAGCTTATAAATAAAAAATAAAGAAAATTAAATATGTTCTTACTGAAGTGTTTCTAATTGAAAATAAACAGTATTTTTTTCTGCCTGAACGTAATCTATTCCACTCGTGGAAGGTACTGTACCATGTAAAAAGAAAAAAATTCTTGTTTGCGTTCCTCCCTCGACCAACGTCTGTTGTCAACCAGTGACTTACCAGCCACAGGTCGAATAGACAAACACCATTTATATGTTCAATGATCATGACTGTACATTGTTTGTTTTCTTTCTTCAGATGATGCATCGTGACTGCTGGTGAAAAGTGTGAAGACAGCGACACAGCAAATTTGAGAATCAGTTGCTCAAGTGAAATCTTCGGCCTTTATGGAAAAACCTGAATTCTTAGATAGCAGATAGAATACCAATTCAGGAATCAGCATGAGTTAAAGTTCAAGCGGTTAACAGTGCTAGTGTTAATGTGAAGATGGTATTGATTAGTGAGGGAAAGTATTTTGTGAAACGACGGCTTACGTGTTGAGGAGCAGCTAAGAAAACAGGGTATCTATTTCAACTGGTTCACTGACTGAAAGTGTCTACTTGTAGTACCGAGGTACAGCATCACTCCAGATGCGGGTGTGAGGGAAGTCACCTGCAGGATGGACCCTCCGCTACTATTTCTCTTACTCTTCTGCGTGACTCTGGTCCCCGTCTCCTGTCTTCATACAGGTGAGAACTCCTAACTCATAAAATTTTCTAATAATTTTATAGTTATTTTATATTTATTACATTTTAATATGGGTGTATTTGAGAGGAGGTATCCCGGATGTTCAATAGCATCCGGTCAGATGCTACTTAACATTCCTCAGTATTAGCTACCCCGGAGAGCACCCATTTTTATTCTGCGTGTTTATTATCTGATCGCCTTCAGACCTGCTTTCAGGAATGTGATCTGTTACACACGCGCGCCCCTACGACCACATCTGTGATCTCCACGTTTACTCCCAGGCTTGTGATCTGCTATACATATCCACACCTACCTCCAGCCTAGGGATCAAAGACACATACAAAGACAAACAAACACACCTACTCTCAGACTTGTGATCTTCCTCTCACATATCCACACTTACGTACAGACTTGTGATTCACACCGACCACCAGACTTGTGATTCACACCGACCACCAGACTTGTGATTCACACCGACCACCAGACTTGTGATTCACACCGACCACCAGACTTGTGATTCACACCGACCACCAGACTTGTGATTCACACCGACCACCAGACTTGTGATTCACACCGACCACCAGACTTGTGATTCACAAGACGACCATACTTGTAATCTTTCAAACACTCATGCCCTGACCTGTGATTCACACCTACGATCACACTTGTGATCTGCCAAACACATCTATACTATAATGCCCAGATATTGATCTGTCACACACATCCGTACCTAACACCAGAACTGTGATCTCTCACACAAATTTCACATCCGATGTTGTTCCTGGTGTCGCTTCGCGTTTTGATCTCCGTACAAATCATGACTGACACTGATGCGCTGGAGCGAGGATAATTCCGCTAGAAACTCAATGCATCTATTTTCACATCGTAGTGAATATCAGTGTTTTTGTCCAGAACCAGACGGAAACGTATTCAAATGACCTGCCATAAGTTGTCATTCAAAATATTAACAAATTCGCTCAGCAGTTTACTTTGACAGTAGCATACAAAACTGAAGTGAAAGAATGTAGAACGAAGCAAAAATGGTACCAAAATAATAAGGTCTGCTTGCCCCCCCCCCCTTCCACATGACAGCCGTTAAAGATATAAACTTAAGCACACAAAAATATAAATTTGAATTTGACTTGATGAACTACTATGACAAAATCACGGAGGCTCTGGAAGAAGGATACCTGAAGGATGCCTACTGGGGCCAACGCCTCCGTGGCCCCGATCCCAGACCAGGCATCATGGTGGATTACGGCCTGATCAGCCATTCTGGTACTGATGACCGCATGCCATCCAGCGTACGAACCATAGTCTGGTGGACCAGGAACCGAGCTGAGGAACACTTCCAGGTCTCTCTTGAAGACAGCCAGAGATTTCTTGGTAATTTCCTTCATGCATTAACATGTAGTCTACACGATGTCTCGAAAGCATTTGTTTTATCCTCGTAGCATCGTCTGAGGCCTACATGGCTATCATCCTGGCTGATGTGGAACTGTTGGTGCCATGTTCCGAGGTGCAGGATTAGCAATTGCCACCTGCAGGGCTTGAGTGGTAAACACTGCCACTTGCAATGATTCAGGTGTTGCTCGCTGCTACCTGCATCAATTCAGGTGTTGCCCGCTAAAACCTGCAACAATTCAGATGAAGATTGAGACACTTATGCAGCATATGGGAATCTTTATTCAGGAAACGTTTCGCCACACAGTGGCTTCTTCAGTCCAATACAAAGAGGAAGGCGTAAGGAGAGGAGGAGAATGAGGTAATCAGTCCCTCAACCTGGAGTCGATGTGTTCAGTCCATCAATCTTGTAGAATGTACAGCATAGGGCCGTAGACGTGGCTTATATACTGTAGTGAGGTGACTTGAAGCAGGCGGAGGCGGGATCATAGTGGTACCATTCACTAGTCGAAGTAGGTCTTTGTCCAAAGGTTGAACAAGCGTTGAAGAATTCTTTGTAACAAGATCCCATGATGCTGCAGTGTCTGACAGTTGTGATGAATGGTTTGAAAAACCGACAAGTTGAAGATTGAGACACTTATGCAGCATATGGGAATCTTTATTCAGGAAACGTTTCGCCACACAGAAGAAGCCACTGTGTGGCGAAACGTTTCCTGAATAAAGATTTCCATATGCTGCATAAGTGTCTCAATCTTCAACTTGTCGGTTTTTTCAAACCATTCATCACAACTGTCAGACACTGCAGCATCATGGGATCTTCTTACAAAGAATTCTTCAACGCTTGTTCAACCTTTGGACAAAGACCTACTTCGACTAGTGGATGGTACCACTATGATCCCGCCTCCGCCTGCTTCAAGTCACCTCACTACAGTATATAAGCCACGTCTACGGCCCTATGCTGTACATTCTACAAGATTGATGGACTGAACACATCGACTCCAGGTTGAGGGACTGATTACCTCATTCTCCTCCTCTCCTTACGCCTTCCTCTTTGTATTGGACTGAAGAAGCCACTCTGTGGCGAAACGTTTCCTGAATAAAGATTCCCATATGCTGCATAAGTGTCTCAATCTTCAACTTGTCGGTTTTTCAAACCATTCATCACAACAATTCAGATGTTGATCATTAACCCCCCTCCCCCCTACAGTGATTCAGGTGTTGCCCGCTGAAAATTTTAACGACACGGAGGTTGATGACCCAACAATGGTCTGGCCATCACCTCTGCTGCTCGGTCTCAGACCGAGGTTTCCACTCTCTAACCCACTGGTACTAGTGTGGTGCTCATCACCACCACCTACAAAGATTCAGGTGTTGCTCCCTGCCACCTGCAACGAGGCAGGGGTGACAATTACCACCTGTGAGTGGCAGCAACAGCTGCCACCTGTGACAACTAAGAAGTCGCTATATTGTATTCATGGTAGTCTGCATATTGTAAGCAGAAAGATTTTCTTGGAGTTATATAGCGTAGAATTAAATTTAAAATATTTATAGAAAGAGTTTTTTGCATAGTTGGTGTTACGAAGGATTATGCTGCTTACAACACAATATATAATTAATGTATAGCGTATAACGTAACGTATGATAAGTGTTTAGTTTGTTGCCTGACACACGGTGTAGTGTATCTTTTGATATGTTGGGTGTGCTGTTGTGAGTTGACTAGATTGTGGATGAATGCGCCGGGTGTTGTGAGTTGATTATCTTATGGCCACTAGCATTAAAATATCACTGTCATCGTTATTCACAATGTAATTCACAATACTGAGACTTTACACAGTTAACTCGCACGTAGGAGACTTAAGCTTATGACGACGTTTTGGTCCGACCAGTAACTGGTCCAAGTCGGACCAAAGTCGGACCAAGTCGGACCAAGTCGGACTCAGACAACAAAGATAATCCCTCATCACTTAAAACCATACAGACCCCAAACATAATCTATCACCAGTCACTAAGATAATCCATAACCACCCACATCACAAACATAATCTATCACTATATAGACAAAGATAATTAATCACTACTAAGATCACTACAATAATTCATCACTCAGACTAAAAGCCTTCGACAAGTGCGACCATGGCGTGATAGTACACAAAATGAGTGAAGGAGGAATACCTGGAAGAAAGTCTCGGACTTCACTTCACAGAGTGAAGTGAACTCCGAGACTTTCACAGTGAGAGGCTCTGTTCCTCAAGGTACAGTACTTGCCCCACATCTGTTTCTCATTCTTAGATCCGACATAGATGAAGATTTATTTCATTGCACCGTAACTTCCTTTGCTGATAACACCAGATTCTCTTGAGAGTAGCGTCCATCGAAGTCACAACGAATTTAAAATAATGGATTTTTGTCAAAATATTTTAATTTTAGTGTGTATGTCTGGGCCTGTCTGTCTGCCTGCCTGTGTCTGTCCGTCTGTTACTGTTACCGTCAGGCTCTAAATATTGCTGAGCTAGATAACGTATAATGAGTTTTCACTTGATCAAATATCTGAACTACTGGGAACGTTTGAAGTCCCTTCAACTATATGCCTTGGAATGTAGGAGCGAAAGGTATCTTTGCCTTTCAGTGGTTCCCACTGAAAGGTTGTTGGCATGATCGACAATGGTATAAGTACCATGCGCAGTCCAGCTCATGCACAGCAGCCTGGCTGATCAGGAACTGATTTGAGGAATTTACCAAGTTCCCTTTTAAAGACAGCCAGAAATTTGTTGTTAATTCCCCTTATGCATGAAAAGACGAGGACCTCTTACACTTATCGAGTTGTTACTTTTATATGAAGCTTCTTGCTTTCATATGGAGTGATTTTGGTATGAAGGTTTAGGCCCGGTCCCTCCAGATCTTTCAGGAATAAATTATAATGCATTTCTCTCGTCTCTGTTCCAGAGAGTACATTTCAAGAAACTTCAAGTGTTCTCAGTTAGTTTAGATGATTGACTTAATTTATACTGGGAATGCGGATCCTCTCGACGTTTTCTAGCACTGCCTTGAAGGAAGCCTGTAGTATACAAGAGAATTCCAGTTATGAGAGAACAAGTAACTTCAAGAATGTTATCACTGGCTCGGCACCTTTTGCTTTGAATGTTCTAGTTATCCAGCATATCATTCTCTCTATGGCAGTGATAACAACATGCTGTGAGCCTTGAATATGAGATCTGTCGTCAGTATCACTTCCAAGTCTCGCTCACTGAACTATCGCTCTCTGAATTATTCACGTTTGCCTTGAACTCAATTTCAGTCCTTATTTCCTCCATTCTACCATAGCAAGGCAATTGAAATTTATCCTCATTAAACTTCGAATTGTTGTCAGTGGCCCATTGAAAGACTTGATTTATATCTGCTGGCAGATCTGCTGTTTTCTTGACGGCGCCACTTTTACAGAAATGTTGGTATCACCTTTGAGAGTGGTGTCTATCGAGTATTCCAGTGGACCACTGAGAACATGATGTTCACTGAGGACAAATTTCAGTTGCTCTGCTATTGAATGGAGAAAATAAAGGCTGAAATAGCGCATTTCACATTCAAGGATCACAACTTTGCT